CGCAGAAGGTAAAATTGGAAGTGTGAAGCTGCGGTGAGCTTCTGGTCTGCTTTCCAGGGGTCCCTCGCTGTTCCCACACAATGCACCCCATTTCAGCACATTAAAGCTGCAGAAACATTTCTTCGTTTAAGAGAATTCCACAAAGGGTTGTGATAATCTTTACAGGCTCAAGGATCTGATTTTCAGAAGTTGAGCCTGCCTAGACCATTCCAGGAGGCAGTGTTTCTCTAGGACTAGGCCAAGTTAGATTAATTAATTAAATCAACAAACACGACTAAGAGCTTTACAAGTGACTGGCTTGAAGTTAGACCAACCCCTGCTCCTGTCTGAGTGTTTGTATTGCTGCGGCCTGAACGCAGGGCCTTGTGTACACTAGGCAAACACTCGCTACTGAACTATGTACCCAGGCAACATTATTTTGAAATAGGCACTCACTGTGTAGCCCAGGCTGGCCTCCAGATGCCATCATCTTGTTTCCACCAGCACAACGCTTAAACTGCAGGTGTGCATTTCCTGTCTCGTATCCCCCTTCTTGGGACAGTTTCCTTGGAAGGAACGAGGGAGTTCGGTGGACAGTGTTGGGCATGGGAATGAGCCTGGACAGGTGTTAGAAGTCTTGAGACCTGTCATGGTCCGAATTATTGTGCTAACCCAGGCAAATTCTTGAGTTCCTCTATACCCACATGTTCTCTTATCAATTAAAAGCAAAAGTCCAAACTTCAAAGTACATTGAAATCTCCTCCACCCTCTTTCACCTTTTGATGTCGGTTCTTCTGTTTCTCATTGTCTTCTCCTCTCTTCTGCTTTCCTCATAGTTCTTCTCTTGTTTAGAGCTGGCCTTGGGAAATGCTTGGGATTGATAGGCTGCTTTGCTTGTTTATCATACTGAGAAGCCATGGCCAGGGCCTTGTCTTTTTCCAGAAAGATCTCCAAAGCTTGGTATCTGACCCGCAGGTCTGCATCTGGGGGCCTAGATAGAGTTCAGCCTACACACCATCAGCCATCCCGGAAGCTCAGAACGTGATCCCCAATGGCCCTATCAAGAGGTGAGGTAGAACTGGGCATGGTGGTACATGCCTTTAATATCATAGCACTCTGAGAATGAGGCAAGAAAATGATGAGTTTGAGGGCACCCTAGGTTACACTGGGCCATTCTGTCTCAAAGGGGGTAGAGGAAGGAAAAGGGGGACAGAGCATGTGCAGGGATGCTCTGTGTGGGAGTGAGATGAGAGGGTGGTAGTCTTCAGTCTGCCCCTGGGTTTAATAAGGGAATGAGCAGCCTAACGAGTGACAACTTTGTTAAAGCCGTGTACTAGGAAGCCCAAATTCTGCCGTTTATGTATAAGTTACCAACCAACTTCATGGCATTTAATCTCCCTTTTCCTTTGTATTTTTTTTCCACCTGTTAAAGAAGTCTAGACAATATGTAGATTCTTCCTAGCCCTGAAGCTTGTAAAACATCTCCTCTTTGAATATCTCAGAAAGGTATGGGAAGTGTTTTTCCTTATTTAGGGTTGAGAAGTTTGGCTGCTTAAATTCTATATGGGGATAGATTCCTTTCTCCTAAGGGCTCAAATGTCTATATTTCTCCCTTTCTGGAGCATGATCTGATAGTTACTGGCTAGGTCCTCTTACCAGAAGCCTATGTGTGCGGTGTGAAAATACCCTTGTCATTAAAATACCAGCATGCCAGTAAAACTCTACTCTGGCGCAGCCTTAACTAAACAATGACTCTTACCACAGAGGCCATAGGCGCCTTTCTCTACTTGAACACACATTCGAAGTCAGGGACAAATCGTCTTTGCTCACAGGCAGAGTTTGCAGGTAGAAATGAGAGCAAATGAACATCATTTAAAGAAATGGTTGTTTGGGAGCCCCTGGTGTCCTGGAAGACAGATTGTCAGATACTTTAAGGAGGGACAGGAAGTAAGTGAGGACATGGGTGTGCGGCCTCAGGAAATGCTGTCCTCAGTGACAGAATCAGAGGGAACTTTGAAGCTTCATCACCAGAACAGTAAAAGGAGATCAGCACGTACACAAGCGGGTGTCTGTGAAGAGCCAGACACTGAATTCAGGAGTCATTTGATTCCCACCTTCCTCCATGTTAGGCCGGATGGAGGGGCATCTACCCCAGATGGAGCTGGAAAAAGTATCTGTAGACCAGAACCAAGAAGATGACCAAGATAGAGAAGGTTGTGACTACCTCTTCAAAGTCCTCTTCCGATAGTTTTGATTTAAAATACTTAAACCTCTTTATTGTTACTGTGTTTGTGTGCATATGTGTATATATGATCGGGGTGCCCTTGAGACACAGTGTGCCTGTGGGGGTCAGAAGACAGCATTGCAGAACCAGTTCTCTAGGTTTGGGGGATCAGTCTCAGGTTGCCATGCTTGTGTGGTAAGTGCCTTTACCCACAGAGCCATCTTCTGGTTCTGAATTTTACTGGTTCTCAGCCTTCGGCAGACTGGGGTTTTCATGGATAATATGAGAAAATCATGATGTCTGTGTTTGAAGCAGCCAAATAAATGGGGTGCAGGGTAACAGGATGCAAAGAGATAAGTTTTAAGAAAGATATCACTGAGTTGTTTAAAACAATACTTTTAAGTATTCATTTGCATAAATCTCAGCACAAAACTAGTAGAAGTCACATGATCTTTGCAAAGGCTGCATGTCAGGCATTGGTTATCCTATGGCAAACTGTTTCTGACTCTGGGAGATGATTGACGTTCAGCTCAGCAGGATCTGGAAAGTCCCAGGGGTGAGGCAGGAGACTAGGGATGACTTGCTTCTGCCATTCCTTGCAGCTTTGGGTTCCACAAAAGCAGGCGTGACCAGAGGCTATTAGAGGAAGCTTCTGACCCACGTGAGTTATCGTCTAATTCCAGGCCATAGCCTCAGCTCGGCAGTTCTGGGTCATAGGCCATTTCCATGGCGTTACAGAAACACAGGGCACCATGTGCAGATCCTGGCGAATGAGACCGGGTGCTTGAGAAGGGGAGCATGTGAAGGAAGTGCTCGGAAAAGGAAGCAGACAACTGACTTCATAAGGGGACTAAAAGCCAGCAGTTGATCTTGCTCTTTATGACCCTGAGGGAAAGCCCCGCCCCTAGTCATGAAGGACCTAAAATAAATCAACATGCCATCTAATCGCATGCAGAAAGCTGGGAACAGCTGGTTTATAATATTGTTGTTTCAGACCGATGAATTGATTATGGTTTAGTTTAAGATTTAATCAGTTTTCCGCAAACTTAAAATATTTGGTATTTCTCTTTCCTGTCTAACTCACATTCAGTGTGAGACAAATAGACCTCATTTCTTAAAGAGTTCATGGAAGTTGTCTAGGTTTCTAGTGCTGGGAACACACTATGAGAGGGAAATATTATTGGTGTTTATTATTGTGTTTTATATAGAAAGGATAACTTCCATTTTCTGGGCAACTTAAACATAAACTGTTTAATTTAGAAAAATGACTAAGAGATGTTTTTATCTTCCTGGATACAATAGGGTTTCCATTTTGCACTACTCCAGGGGTCGCCTTACATATCCTAATCTCTGTGCCTGGCCTCACGCTGTACTCTGTGCTGGCCTAGGCAGTCCTGAGCCACCCATGAGGTCCTCAACCAAATGCAAATGCCAGAAGGAAAAGATTGTAACAAGCGCAGGAAAGAGGAGCAAGGCATAAAGAGGGACAATGGAAGTCATGTTGAGTAAATTGTTACCATATTCGTGTTAGGTCTGTGTTCATTTGGACTGACATTCACTCAACTCCCAGGTTCTGGATTCCGGTGCTAGCCCTAGGTATTAGTCCTGGCCATCAAGGCACTGATGACATCCATGGTTTCAAGGGAGATCTGAAGTCTGTATGTAGCCCTATATGTGGCAGTGTCATGGTATCAGGGACCCGAGCCAGGGACTCTGCGGTCTCTCAGCTGTCACCACATGGCCCAACCCCTGCCTGGTGTTCATGAAATGCCTCCCAGGTGTGTTAGTTGCTACATTTGATATTAATGAGTGCAATAAGGACTGTTTCTGAGTGGGAGGAAGAGGGGAAAGCGAATAAATGTCCGAAAGGTTGACACTTCAGGGGAGGCGAGACACTTAGGGAAGCTGTGCCCTAGAGTAAGGTGTTTTAGACAGTGGACCCAGTGTGCAGCTGTGGAGGCTGGGACTTAAGGCTCACAACAAAGCAGATCACACAAAGGCAGGGTATCCAGCCCCAAGGCCATGAGGCTGAAGAGCTCAGTGTTGGGCTGTCTTGGCTGTACAAGGTGGCCAGCAGTTTGCCCTTAATCTCCGACAGGAGAGAGGGCAGACATTGAAAGTGCTTCAGCAACTGAATGGTGGATCAGAGCTGGATCAATTGTTTATTGTAAAGAAGTAACTTGGCAGCTCCACTCTCGGCCTGGACGACCTGGGACATAGGTCTGAGGCCTTGCCTTGGACTGGATCACCTCAGGTACTTATTGGACGTGCAGATGCCGGGGCCCTGCAATGTTCTATTCTTAGCTCTGGGCTGAGGTGTGGGCTCAGTGTTTAAATAAACAATCCAGGGGGCTGGAGAGATGGCTCAGTGGTTAAGAGCATTGCCTGTTCTTCCAAAGGTCCTGAGTTCAATTCCCGGCAACCACATGGTGGCTCACAACCATCTGTGATGAGGTCTGGTGCCCTCTTTTGGCCTGCAGACATACACACAGACAGAATATAGTATACTTAATAAATAAATAAATATTTAAAAAAAAACAATCCAGGGCATTTCTGTACATAAATGTTTATTAAATATGGGTTAGAAAGTCCAGTGAGAGGGTGCATTGGTTATTTACTTCTGTATAACAAACTACCTCCAAATTACTGACTTACTACAATACAATACAATACAATGACCTGTCTTGAAGTATATACAGATCAGAAGTTTGGGAGTGGCTTAAGTAAGCTATATCCCGACTTTTCAGTGAAGCTGCAGGCCTATGTTGTAGCTTCTCAAAAGCGTGAGGGCAGCTGAGGATCTCCCGAGATAACTTGTGTGGGTTTTCCTTAGCGTCTCTCCAGGTGGATTTCTCCAATGGATCACTTGATATGGACATTCTTATCTCTCAGCATGAATGTTTTAAGGGTATGGGAGACACAGAGGGTAAAAGAGACCGGATGGTGGGGGAAGAGACAGACAGACAAAGACAGAACTACAGACTTTTCTTTTTCATTGTTGCTTTTAGATATGCTTTCTCTCTGAGTCCAGGCTCACACTGCAACTAAGTAGCTTACACTGGCCTTGAACTGCTATCTTTCTATTTCAGCATCCTGAGTGCTGGGATAACAAATCTTTGCCTCTACCAGAAGCTGACCCAGGAAATGGTATACCATCACTTCTGCTATGTTCTACTGGGCATACAGGCCAATGCTGGTACAGCTGGTGCATGCTTTGACTAGGATGGCTGGGGATAGCCTAGAGTTGAGGTAAGTTGGAAGACATAATTCATAGTCTTGGTATGAAATGTTGGGGACGTGAGATTATAGCATGTGGTACGGAATAATATGAGCTACTGTGTTTGAATACTTACTGCGCGCCAGAAACTCTTCTGAATACTTTGTGCAAAGGCTAGGGTTAGGGTTAGTCTCTGGCATGCAGTGAGCATTCAAACATGCTAGCCAGCCGTGCTCTGAGCACTTTGCATGCATTAGAACATGCTAGCCAGCCATGCTCTGAGCACTTTTTGCATGCATTGTCTCACTTAACTCTCAGGACAGCAGAGCAAGCCAGGCCCAGCTCCTACCCTGAGTGGGAAACTGCGAAGCTGATGGGGGAGCGGGAATGCGGCTGTTTGACTGGCTTGTCAGGACAGGGAGACAGAAGGAATGTGGAAGACAAAAACCGATGATAACATCAGTGTCCCATGAGATTTAGCTGGCTGATGGGCCAGTTCCTTAGCTTCCATCCAGGGAGTGTGAGGACACTGGCTGAGCAGATGCAGCCATGATGCAGAGGCAGACAGGCCATTCTAAAGCACCTCACATGCAATTCAATGCAGCAGAAACTAAGCCCTGGGCCATGGATCCTCACATGCAATTCAATGCAGCGGAGGAGACTAAGCCCTGCGTTAAGGTTGTCTGCAGCTCAGAAAGCCTAAGACAAACATGGGCCAGCACATCAGGCTTCTAAACTGATTGGATAGGCTGCACAAAGCCACGCATGCTTCTTGTTTATAGCGCTTCTCAGTACCCACAGATGGTGGTCCTAGGTCGTTCCTCCTCCAGCCAGCGCTGTTTCCCTCCATACATCCCTGACATTCCTCTCCTCCGGAAGAGGCCTGTTCACCTTTCCACTCCACTAAGCTTTCCTCCTTGATCGTGCCACACCTGGAGTAACACAGGCCTCAGAGTTTGATAATTTACTTAATGTCAACAAAAGAGAAAGGGGACAGCAAGCTGTGGAATCGCAGGCGCAGAAGTGGAGAGAGCCAACTTGGCCTGCGGGGACCCAAGTTCCCAGAAGGGCCTGCCCGCCTCCGCGGCCTCCACCTAGCAAGCGGAGTTTGGAGAGGGCCAGGCTGTTGTAGTAAGTCCCTTGAACTCCTCTGAGATGGCGGGACAAACCATCCCAGAATACAGACAGCGCTCTGGGTTAACCAAGGATTGATTGCCTTACTGTTGCTGGACCGAGGCAGCCAAGCCTAGCCTAGTGGCCCTGGAGCGTCTCCAGCACCCGGGTGGGGCACGGAGGGAGCGCCCAGTCACTCACCCCGGCATGTGGGCGCGGCGGGGCGGGCCAGGGCTCTGAGCTGGACGCTGAGGTCCTTCTGGGCCCTAGTGTTTGCCCAGCCTACCCTCTTGGCTGGGTCTCAGCCGGTCCTCCTTTCTTTCCCTGGACAGCTGCGGGAGGCAATCTGAAGGTGGCAGGTGCTTGGGCCACCTTGCTCAGGGTCCTAAGCAGGTAGGTGACCCGGGTGAGCGGGCAGTAGGACTCGGGCGGTGGGTCTCCAGCGCGACGGGAATAGCACAGGGGTCAGGGCTAGAAGGGTGGTGAGACCTTGGCCCCCGCGTCTGTCCCTCCGGTCCCTCCCTCCACTGTGCACAGGGCGGGCTCAGGTGCCCAGCGGAACCGGCTATCGCGGCGGCGGCTGGTGTCCGGTGTCCTGTGTCTGCAGCCTCGGCCGGGTGAGTGGTGGCCGGAGGATAGGGGAGCTTGTGATCGATGTGCCGCGTGCCTCCAGTGGGAGGAGAATCGGTGGCGACTTGGCGCCTTTCGGGGGAAGTTGTGGCGTCCGGGCAGTGTGTGTGCACACGCGGTGAGTGTTTACACCGGTCTGGGGCAGGTGCAACCGACAGAAGCCACCTCCGAAGGTCTGGGTCCGCTGCAGTTGCTGGGTCCCGGCCGCAGTACCGGCAAATCAGCACCGATCCAGGGGTCTCTCCTGACCGGGAAACCTTTCAGACAGAGAGCCCTGGAAACCGGTTTCAGCCCACGCATAACTCCATGAGCGCATTCCGGTGCAGGGACACCCTAGCGCTGGCGCCCCCACGTGGAACAGGGAGGGGCGAGTGGTGTCCCCTCCCTGCGGTTCTGGATTAAGGCTCAATCCAGAACTCAGCTCCAGACAGCTGAGCCAATCCCGGGCCGCTCCTGTCCCAGGGCTTCATGGGTCTTAGGTGTTTGTAGGTTTTCTCAAGCTCTTCCCTGTGGTCCCATAGAAGCAGTGTAACTGCTCCTTCCTCAGCTCTCCAACAAGCTTCTCTTTGCCTCTGTAACAAAACAGTGTAATTATTTATAATTTTAAAATTTAATTAATACATACTTAAGTGAAGATTTGGCGCGACTTTCTAGGTACTTGAGAACATTTACAAAGCATCCAACAGCTTTCCCCACTTGCAATTGATTTTATTCTCAAAATTATCATAGAAGCGAATAAGAAAAAAAAATGAATAAAAAAAAAACCCAAAGCCTGAAGAAAGATGTAGATGTTTAAAAGTTAATCGAATTTAAACTAGTTCTTAACTTTAGGGATATACTTGGTATACACACCAGAGTATTTTTATGATACATTGGGCTGTGGTTTGGGTATTATTATTATTGTTATTTATTAGGCTCCATATTAATTACAAACACATTGTGTTATAGAAAAACAGAACGTGTGAAAGTCAGACCAGATCTTCAGGTATCCTGGGAGCTTAACCAAATTTAGAACTCTTTAGAAAGTTTCAGAGCAAGCGACAGGTGTGGGCTTTTAGCGGCTTATCTGTCCTTTTCAAGAACGGCGCCCAGGAGACCAACAAGTTGGTGGAGCTGGGCTTTGTGTTGCATCTCGAACAACTGCTCTCAGAATGACACCCAAACATGTCTGGTCTCTGGGTGTCAGCAGTGAGTGTCCTGTCGGAGTGAAAGTGAGAAAACCCCGACTGGTACATTTCTTCCTTTTTATTTCCTGTGCTTGTCTCGGTAACTTCAAGGTAGATTTTTATGCCACGGTCCACGAGTGACAAAGATTCCAAGGCTAATTTTATGGATTGGTGAACTGAGTCCAAAGATGTCAATTGACCTCCCGACATCACTGGAGGCGAAGCTGGGAGTCCGAGCTGGTGTCCTTTGTGGTATTCCATGAGCACGCTGGGTTGGGGGTCTGCCGTGGGGAAGCCTTGAGGAGAGTCCTCCGGAGTGAGTCGTCAGTCCACTCTGGTGCCCAGAGTCAACACCCACAGACACTTGTTAGCTGGGTTTCCTTCGTACTCTTCCAGGACACCAGGAACCCCTTGTCTGCTTTTTAAGAATGACTAAGCTGGCCCTGGTGTCAGGGTCTATAATCTCTGTTACGTGGGAGACAGAGGCAGTCAGTACAGAAGGCCAAAACCTGCCAAGTCTAGAGTATATTCAAAACTGCCTGGGCAACTTAGAGTCTGTCTCAAAGTCTAAAACAAAACGAGGGCTGAGCTGTAGCTCCGCAGGAGAGAAATTGCCTAGCATGTGCAAGGGACAGGGTTTAATCCTCAGGACCACAAAACAAAACTGATTAATCAACCTCAGTGCCTGAAGTCCCTGTTTGCTGCACGAGGCAAAACAAAAGGAGTTTGCAAACCTCTTCACAGAGTGCCACGGAATGGGCACTGGGGACACAAAGTAACAGGCAAGCAGAGAACCAGAGGGAGGCCAGTGTGGCAGTCAGCTCCGCCTCCTTCCTGGGTGGGGTGTTTTCTTCTCTGGCCTCCTCTAAGCTTATCTACAGTTGATTAGAGTTGGGCTTTTGCACTTGGTAAGGTATCTGCACATTTGCAATTCTCAAACCAGGGAGATTTTCTAGTCTTTGTTTTGAAATGTTAAAAGTGAAATCACACCCTGCTTCTGGGCTGGGCGAGTAAATTTGTAGCAGTCAGTCAAGTGGATTCAGTAACTGCCCTGCTTTCAAGCCTCTTGGCTGTCATTGTCTTCCTCACCTGTAAAACAGGACTGGACTCCCAGAGTAGCATGGCTGCTGCTAAGTGTTCAAGTGAGTGCCTGCAAGAGTTAAGTGCGGACTCTCTAACCAGTGGACTCTGGGCCAGGGATGAGAGGAATGCACCCTTGGCTCTTGGAGACTTGATTTTCAGTTCTCTCTGACCCTCTAATACTGTCCATGTGATTACAGACTGGGGCTAGAGCAGAGGCTATAGAGCTCCTCTGTCCTGTCTGTCCCGTTCTGCGGGCATCCGCCTCTGAGGTCACAGAACGCAGCTGTCTATGAGTGCCCCCGGAATGTCAAAGAGTCGTTTATTTACTTACTCCTTTACCTCAAGACCTGGGAGTCCTGTGTGCCAAAGAACCAGATTCTTTCTGTGGGAGAAGAATGTCTTCTATAAACCCTTCCTTTAGCATGGTCTTGGTTTGATCTATTCTGTGAGGGTGTGCTGGAGCCAAAATATCACAAGACATCGACTACATTGTATAACCCCGTGGAAACCAGTATGCAATCTTACCAAGGGGCCCTGACAGGGAGAGGCCTGACAGAGTTACAGTCATGGTGTCCGTTTTAGTGCTGTCTAGCCTTCCTCTTAGTATCGTGTTCCATTGAATTCCAGTAGTTAAGTGCTGTGGGAAAGGCTAGGCAGCAGGCGGGAACAGCATGCGGAGCTTCAGGGCCCTGTTGTACGAGGAATACTTCCTTAGTGAGTCTAAATGTTGTTGAGGTGCTGAGCACCTGACCACTGAGCAAGCTTATCTCAAAGGACTGCGGATTTCTTTCTAATGATAAAAGTGCAAGAGTTTGGGGCCAGGACATGGGTGGGGAAATAGGGCGTGAGAATGGATTAGGATCCCACATGCAGTGGCATCTAATCCCATTGTTCTTCTGCTGGGATGAAGGGTGGAATCAGGAGACTCCCCAGAACTTTCCAGTCACCTAGCATGGTTGGTCTACAAAGTGCTTAACAAGAAAAAGAGAAATCTTTTCTCAGACAAGGTGGAGCGCCTGAGATTGCCCCCTGTGACATACATATGTTATATAATGCACGCATATAATGGACAGTCTGAAGGTTTGGCATCGGAAAACATTAAATCACATAAAACTAAGTAAAATAGAGCTAGAGGAAGCGCCACCTGTGGTGTTGCTTTTGTAACACCAGGCTTGCCCAGGTCCTCAGCCTCTCTCTGAAGGAACTGCCTGATAAAGGTATAAATCAAAGGCAGAGGCCGGTGACCTCTGCTTCCCCCAAGTATCCACCTGAAACTTCTGTCACTAAATTATGTTCCTGGAAAGAACTGGTAATCTTCCAGAATGTTCATGCGTGTTCTCTTTTGTGCTTTACTGCTCTCCTGGCTCTGCGGGGCTTTCTGGAAATGTCCTCTGTGAAGGAGAAAGCACAGAGTCGTGTCTATGCAGTGCTGGAGACACGGGAAGCAGGACAGAAGGCTTTCATTTCTTCCTTCTTTTGACTCCTCTGAGAATGGCTCTGTTCCTCTCAAAATATTTCAAATGTTATATTTTCTTTTGAAATTCGGGGAGGGCATTTTTATTTCCTCTTGTGACCTTTGGTTATTGTCATTGTTGTTGCTTCTTTTCAGTCATGCTGATGTGTTTTGGGAGGAGTCCAGACAAACCTCTCTTAAATTTCTGTTTTCCTGAGATCAGCGTGTTCAAAGTTAGGGTTTTCCTGATAAAGTATCTATTATGGAATAGAGGTTATACAGACTCCGAGCCAAACATTACCTTGGCCTTTTCTCTTCTTTCTCTTTGAAATAATGAACTATATTGTGTTTCCTCTTGGCTTTCTTTACTAGCCTGCTTTTTTCTAGAATCTGTACATTTTGTTGCCTGATTTGGGCTGTTATATTCTTTGCAGGTTTGTCCACACTGAACAGCATTTAAGAAAGAAACCTCTCTGCTGAGTTCCTGTCCCAGTGAGTCTTTACTGCCAGGTGTTCCACGCTCTGGGAAGGTCTGTGGAGGTGCCCAAGTCACAGCCTGCTGGTGGCATACGTCATTTCCAGAAGCTTCTTCTGCAGGTGTAGACATTCTTGCTATCAGCAAGCATGCTGAAACAGATACTGTCAGACATGTTCATAGACCCTGACCTGCTGGCAGAGCTCAGCGAAGAGCAGAAGCAGATCTTGTTTTACAAGATGAGGGAGGAACAGATCCGACGATGGAAAGAGAGAGAAGCAGCCATGGAAAGAAAGGAGTGCTTGCCAGTGAAATCCAGGCCAAAAAAAGGTAAATGTAGCCGCCTCTGCGCTGCGAGTGTGGTAGCAGAAGGCCTGCCGCCTTGCTGTGAGGGCTCACATCTCTCACTAGCTGGCCACACGAGCTGTGACTGCGTGGCCCGATCCTATGCTGCTCAGCCCCTTATGTCAGGTTGTTAGCTGGAAGCCTGCATCGGCTCACACATAGACACAGAAACCTTACCATGCAGTATATATGTCTAAGTCTTTTCTCTAAAATCAGATGATCATTAAGATGTCATGAAGTCAGTGCTGAGGAATGGGGGTGTAACTCAGCAACAGAGTACTTGCCTAACGTGAGATTCTCATGTCCATCCATCCCAGCACCTCCAAAAAACAAGAAGCCTCCTCAGTCTCAACTTGTGGGGCATTGAGGAAGGCCTTTATCCCCCTTAGCCCTTTACCACCAAAATGCAAAGTACGTTTGCAGCAATTACACAGCAAGTGTGACCATGTGCCATCAACCTCAGGTACTAAAAGTGACCATTTAAAAAAAAATGCCTGTTAAAATGCAAGGAACTTGCTTAAAGAAAGCAAATGGCAATCGTGCATCTGTTTAGTGTGGAATAATTCTCAAATGATCTTCTTCCTGGCTGAACGAATCCCTAGGAGTTTGAAAGGGTTCTTTTGAGACTATCAGGGGAGAAACTCTTCATTTGTTTTGACCTAAATGTATACTTGCACAGATATAGAAAGTGCACATTATCCCCTCCCCCCCCACACACAGAGTCTGCCATGGATCAGTACTTAACTAAACACATACACACGTGCACACTCTCACACAGACAGGCACACAGTTTTCAAGGTCACTCACTGAGATATTCATGCTTAATTTCTCTTCATTTTTTTTTATCAAGCCAGGAAAAATAAAATTTTATAAGACCACACAGGATTTCAATAGTTGAGAAAATCCCACTGGCGTGATTGCCAGACACACAGATTGGAAGTGGAAATCAGTTTAGTGGCCTTTGCTTCCCTACTATAACTAAAATTCTTTTTATGAGGTCTATATGCTGATAAGAAAAACAAATATGAGTGTTTTGATTATTACCTGATACAACATATGCAGTTTAAGGGCTGAGGTATAGATCAGGGTGAGGGTGCTTGCATGGGCAAGTGCACCAACAGCACCACACCAGTAACCAAAAAGTCCTGGGTACAACATTAAAAAGAGAGCATAGCAATAGCTTATTGGTGTTTTAGATGCTCTGTGAAGCACGTACCTTGTGTCTTCTCCTCCCAAAATGTCTGCACTGTTAGTATTAACTGCCCAGTGTTATAGGACAAAACAAGCAAATATAACCCTTAGGGATCTTATGCATTCAAAGCTGCATGCGTGCTTAGGGGAAAGGGTATAAATTACCAGATTTGAGGAGTAAGAAAGACTTTGAGCTATCGTGGGTTAGATGCATTATTTGAGTTAATCTCACCAGTTTTTAGGTGTCAGAATGTTAGAACAGTCGTCACTATGGATGTGGCCCCCATTTGGAAACAGGAACCCCAGCTAGTGTTTCCTGCACTGTCTCATGCAGACTCGCAGCCCAGTGCTGCAGCATATAATCTCACTAAACAATAGCAGCCAGGCCTGCAGCGCGAAACACTCTTTACATTATATGGACGAGGAAAGGGAAGCTCAGTCGTGAATTAACTTGCCTTGGGCAAACAGCTGGAATAGACCCTGGCTTCAATTTCTCCCCCAATTGGGTCCTGTGAACAAACGTCTTACCTGACAAGCTCAACAGGGGACTTCGGAGCAGTTACTAAAGACGCCTCGCAAGCATCTAAAACAGAAGGCGGCGCTTTTCCTGTGTGCTTTGTCACAGAGGCACAAGCAGAAGATGTGGTTCCCCTGCACTGTTTATCATTGCTTCTTAATGAAGCAGAGGCTAGGAGGCCAAAGGCCAGGTGAGGATCTGGTGGCTGGGACAGTGTGTCTCCATCTGCCCTTGAGATAAATGTGGTGGTTTGAATGAGAATGACTGACATGGGATCATATATTTGAATGTTTAGTCACCAGGGAATATAACTCTTTAAAAGGATTCCTCTGCTCAGTACAGAGCCTTACTTCTGAGGCTACGCCATAAAAGGCCTGTGGCCCCTCTTCACTCTTTTTTAAACCCCTCCCACTCCCTTTCTCCACTCCCCACTTTCCTTCCTGGACGAGATGTATAACTAGCATTGGCTTTGACGTTTCAAAGGCCCAAGCCAGTCCTAGCTTTGCCACCTGCCCCTTATCTGTCTGTGGACCACAATGTAGCTCTCAGCTGCTGCTCCAGCACCGTGCCTGTTGCCATGATCCCCACCATGACGACAGTGGACTAACCTTCGGAAACCGTAGCGAGGCCCCAATTAAATAGATTCTTTTGGAAGAGTTGCCTTGGGCATGGTGTCTCTTTACAGTTATAGGACAATGAGCAAGGCTTGGATCCATCTCCATCTGCCAGACTCTTATTGTTAGCACGGGCATGTTCCTTTAGCTAGTCGTCCGTTTCCAGGAAGCAAGGCTTCCACAGAGCAGAGCTGGAATGCAGTGGGGTCTCTGGAAATGTTAGCCAGACAAACAGCTGATTCCCTTTTCCTCTATACAGCATGCTCAAACCCATATGACCAAAAGACTTTTCACCAAGCTTTGGTCTGCTTGTCATTACAGCACCAGAGTTTCCGTCCAGATGGCCCTGCAAGCTCACCACAAAGAAAACTCTTCCCAACTTTTCCTATAGTTCCTCATAACCTCTGGTCCTGTCTCTCAGTCTGTCATGATGGCTCTGCTCTGTTCCTTGCCACTAAAGCCAGATGGCAGGGAGACATTGTGGCTCCCATCTGGCCTTCCCTATCCTCAGTCACTAAATCTCACAGATTTTACTTTGCCTTTTTCTGTTCTTTGGAGATTTTCCCTCCCAGGGTATTAGTCTGTTATAATGTGGCAAGTTCATGCTTTACATTGAAACTGTTTGATTTGATTCTTGTGAGAACTCGGTGAGGTCAGTGTTGTCCCCTTTATTCTTGCAAATAAAGAAACAAATGGAAAGATGCAATTCCTATGCATAAGAGCTGGAACCAGCATTGAATTTGAGTCCAGTTAAATCCCCAGGCTTTTCTGAGAGGTTGATCAGAGCTCTTTCCTCAGCACCTTGTCTGCCTTCCTTTGAGCTCCCTGGTATCGCATGCCTTCCAGGCGATCACTGCATTCCAGACCCCTCGTGCTGCCCTTAAATCCCATGCTCTACTGTCTTGATTTATCGCATCTGTCTCCTTACTCGATCGGAAATCTCACTCAGCCATCTGCCGGTCGCTTCTGGGACTGTGATGTCCGACATGTCACCCAGCTTTCTCTCTAAAATAGGCATATAATTTTATTAAGTTAAAAATGACGTTGGAGTTAGTAACTCCAACACATTTAGCAGGATTAGAAATTATAGGAGAAAAAAAAACCAGTAATTTGAGGAAGACTTGATAGAAATTCGCCTTGGCTTTTGTTAAAATGAACAGAGACCGATCTGCCCGTTCATACCCATATCTCACCCTATGAGATGAGAAAGAACACTGTAATTAACCTTAATGTAGGTCAACCCAGCTCACCTGTTAGCTGCTGGCTCCCTTTCCACTCTCAGTATTTCGGTTTGGTTCACACATTAGAAATATTCTTTATGCACAGGCTTTGCCGTCACAGATCTGGTTTAAATCCCCCTCTTAGTATGGCTGCATCATGTTGAAGTTCCTTCTCTGAACTGCCATGGCCTCACAATAAAATATAGCTAGGAATGGCCTCTGGCGGTCTTTAAAGATGAGTATGGTGTGGACGCGCACCAGTCAGAAGGCACATGGACCATCATGTGAGGACTCAGAGGTTCCTGGCAGCTGACGTTAGTCGTTGGGTTTCTGCTTGAGGCTGAGGGTTCTTAGGAGAGCGGTGGAAGATACTCCAGAGGCCTCTGGGGCGGCAGTGTGCAGAAAAAGCTTAGGATTGTTGGCTCTCTTAGTACCTTGGTAGGAGCCCTATTTTTGGCAGTCATACATACATACCAGTACTGAATTCTTGCAATGTGCTGTAGTTTATTATCTTGGTGAAATGTTTTCGTGGAACTCAATGGACTCGCGATAAAGAAGGGTTAGGAATAACCTAGGGTTATATATAGTGATTGGTATAACCCAGGAAGGGTTTACTGTAACGTGTCCTTGGCTTGTCACAGGCAGCTTGTATCCTGCTGGACCCATTGCATAGGAAACAGCAAACACTGCAGTGCAATCCTGTAATCAGGGCATAGGACTGGAGTAGTCTGGCCGTTTCCCTGAAAGAGACGTGGCACTCGATTTGTATACAGCATTGTCTAGCACTGCCTCCTTAGAGGGTTTGCATATGGCTCTGAGGAGGGAGAACCTCTTCGTCCAGAGAAAACACTTCTCTGAAGAGCGAGGTGTGACTACAAGTCTCTGCTTGGGAGTGACTTAGGATGTAGTCCCCAAACAAGATGGACCCACTTTTCTAGAAAAGCTGGTTTTAGAGTAATTTTGTAAGAGCCCCTGAGATAACAATCATAAAGAGACCTGAGGTTGTACAGTCACAGTTCAAAGACTGGAGAAACAGAAGACCTTGTAATTATGTGGAGTGCTATACAAACTCCCTCCCTCCACGTGCAGATTTAAGTGTGCACATAATTTCCAGGCGAGGTGGACAGAAAATCCAGAATGGCGGGGTGGTGTTAGACTGTAAGAGAGATATTGTGTATGCTGCATTCACAAGTTCTCAGTTTATACCTTTTCTGTAAAGGGGTGTGTTCGGAGTCACATGATTCTGCATGCCTAGTCTCTGCCTTTCTCTTTCCTCCTCCTCTTTCAGTTACAAGGTCCCACATATCCCAGACTGAATGAAGTTCAGCTTCCTAAGTAGCCAAGGTTAGCACTGAACCGACCTTCCTGCCTCTACCTCCCAAGCACTGGGCGCACAGGTGTGAGCCACCACGCCTGATTGTGGCTGTGCTTGAAACTGAGCCCAGAGTCTCAGTCATGTAGGTGAGCACCCCTCCAGCTGAGCCACGTTGCAGCCAAGGCTTTCCTTTGACCTACCTCGGCAGCCTTTCCCTTTTGACCTTCATCCTGGCATCCTGGACGTCTCCCAGCAGCCCAGGGACAGCCCGGCCTGTTTCCTCAGTCTGAGGAGCTCTCCCGTGCAGCTTTTGCTCTCTCTGTCCCCGAGGTCCTTAGAGTAGTGCCAGGATGTACAGCTATTCTGGCAATGTTTGCTGAGCAAACAGCTGAATCCTCTTTGCTCCTCACCAAAGGACTCTAGAACACATTCCTGCTGCCTGAGCCGGTTCTCACCATTCCCAGTCACCTGCCTGCTCCTAGATTCCCGGCATTCCTGGTCCCTCAGCATCACCTAGTACCGCCCTTCTCGTCCCTCTCATCTGCAGGGCTTTCCCTGCCATCTTCTACCTTACTCAGTTATTTCAGGAGTCAGAATTCTTCACTTGCATAAATTCACAAACATTTTGGATTCTTTTCCTCTGCCCATGAATGAAGCTCATGCTTCTCCAAGGTTCTCTCCAAGGTTTCCTTCTCTCTGTGAGTCAGCTAGTCCAGTGATTTTGAAGATAATATGGGTACGGTAATTTCCAAGCCCACCTGGCCAGTCTCAACCTGATTCGTACTCTCTCTCTCTGTACCAACTCGGGGAATTCTGGAGATGTGGCTTCTTTGTGGCCCTTTTCAGCTTCCTGAGCTCTTGTTCACTCTTTGTCAAACTCTCCACTGGACACCTGCGGTTCTAGGCTTTGTCCGTCCCATCCTAGGGCAAGATCTTGTCCCCCAGAGTCATCACTGCCACCCGTGACCTGCAGACTCTATGAAAACCGTTTTGGGGATGTTCATATGGTGTCCCAGCTAAACAACGACTCTCTGGGCTCCCAGTCTTTGCTTCTTGTTGTACCCTACGACTGTGGGCTCTAACTGTTGGCCTCCTGTTGTTAATAACAGCGGAGAGTTACCTAAGTGAAGGGTGAGAGGTGGGCATAGTAAAATATTACAGCTGGCCTCAGGAGTGTGTAATAGAGACAATTTTATGAGGTATGACAGCTTTCTGGAGTTAACATATGGCATGTCCTGAAACTGCAAGACCAGCGAGGGTTGGCGCCTGGGCCTATTGCCAGGAGAGCACTCAGGGTGCCGTCTCCCCTTCTACCCGGGATCCCCCATCACTTGTGTCTCTACCTGTGAAAGCAGGGTCAAGGAGTTCCTTCTGGCCTTTAGGTCCCGTGGTAAAGATTGTACAAATCTTTCCCACTCTCCTCAACCGTTCTTAGCACTCCCGAGGCCGCGGGATGAGATCATTTATCTGGAGAAGAGCAGAAAGCAGAGATCAAGTTTGGCAGCCTGCTTTTGTAATGTGACCAGAGACAGCACTCGGAAGTGGGCCAATAGCACATGAACGCTTGAACGGAAAGCTTCCTCTGCTTAGCAGAAGCCCGGGGGGGAAGCCCAGTGTGGATGTCTTAGGGATACAGCGTTGGCCAGCATCTGCGGCATCCCCTTCATATACTCAGCACCCGGGGCTTGTCTGAAGGCATCGGCTAGACCTAACTGTGGACCACAGTGACCTGAGCAGACCCCATATCCATCCCTTTAGTTTAAGGACTGTATTTCTTGGCCTCTCCTAATCACACGTTACATTTCCCTGGTCCCATCTGGCTACATTTCTGGAGCTCAGAAACTAGATGTAATACAACCCCTGGTACCAATTGTACACGAGAGTTATTTAAGTCACCAAGCGTCATACTATCCAGGTCGTATTATCTTCTCACATGCTGGTGTGAATCTCCAGGCAGCCCTGTAAGTAAGTAATAGGCTGGCTGGTGATAGCCGGTAACCTCTGCTGAACTCCTGTTATCCTTGGCATGCCGGCTATTCACAGCCATCATTGTAATGGATGTTGGTGTTCCCATTTTACAGATGAGGAAATCGAGTCTTAAAGATATGAATGTTCCTAAATCACATAGCTGGTACGTAGCAAGGCTAATGTTTGAATGAAACCATTCTAACTTTTAGAGTTAGAGCTTGTTTTAAGTGCTGTGACGGTAGTGCAAATGCCAAATGCTTGAGCAAACTCCTGATGCCAGGTCACTCTCTTACCCTCAAGGATAATGAACGCCGTGAATGAGGTCATTCTTTCTCAGCACTGGCAGGTGGAAGCACGAGGCCCATCATATTTGTGAAGAAGCCGTCACAGCCCCTAGCGTCACTGTTTGCTCCTGAGCAGGTTGGAAGTGTTTTGCTTTACCACTCCCAACCCGAGACTGACAAATACTAAAGTGATCGGAATACATAATAACATAATATCCAATAAATAGTTTGTTCAACCCAAATTTTGTTTCATTTGCAGAGAATGGCAAATCTGTCCATTGGAAGCTGGGCGCCGACAAGAAGGTGTGGGTTTGGGTGATGGGCGAACACCATCTAGACAAGCCCTACGATGTGCTCTGTGAGGAGATCCTTGCTGAGAGGGCCCATCTGAGAGCGGCGCAGGACTCGGAGCTCAGGTAGGCGAGCTGCGCCCCAGCTGCGCCCCAGCTGCACCCCAGCTGCGCCCCAGCTGCGCCCCAGCTGCGCCCGGCTGCATGCTAAAGGGCAGTGCGTATCAGTTCCTTCTCTTCACCGCTGTGTCAGAATACCTGACAAAAGCCGCTCAAGGAAGTAAAGGTTTCTTTGTCTCAAAGTTAAAAAGGAATGGAGTCCATCGTGGCTGGGGAGGCACAGTGGCAGGGATCTGGTCACATTACACCTGCGGTCAGAGGGCAGGGTGAGCAGAAAATGGGGCTGGAGTATAAAACATCAAGACTGGCCCGGATGAGACACTCCCTCCAATGAGACTCCACCTTGTAAAGGTTCTGCAACATTCCCACATAGCTCCATCACCTAGAACCAAGTGTCCAGCCTCGTCAGCCTATGGGGCATTTCACATTCAGCTGCAACAGGCTGTATCAAAACCTCTTGCTTGTGGTAGGAGAACACAGTGACACTCGAGGGTCAGAAGAATCACTTTAGGTCTTTCCAGAAAGTTCGCTTGAACTTTCAGCGATACCCTTCTGGCCTGCAGTGCTGCCCAGCAACTGCTTTGCCTCTCACAGACATCCCAGGGCTGATTTGCACGAGCGTGCTGGCTGCCCCTGCTCCACCTCTGCTTGGTTAGGTTAGCATCTTCCTGGAGCAGCAGCACAGCATGCAGCCAAGTGTCAGGTGTGTTTGTGAGAACTGAACCAGCTGTGGGCAGCTGGATGGCAGAGTCTGAGCTATGCCAGGCACCAGGAATGCAGAGTCAGAAGAATTCATTCAAGCCTAGGAAGGAAACAAGGCAAAAATACACAACCAGCTGCTGCAATGCAGGCTGTGCCCAGAGGGAGGCTTGGCTAACGTGTAAACAGAATCCCCCTGTTCCAGGTGAGAGTCCAGCATTCTGCAGCATAGAAAAGGGGAAATCTGAGTTGAGCCTTGAAGAAGAGTTGCGTATCAGCTATAGAAGGTTAGGAGAGAAATTAGAGGATGTAGTCAGGATTTTGAACAGCTCTGTGGGGAGTGGTGAAAGCTTCTGAGTACTTGGGGTACACCATATAAACCCCTAGAGATGGGGTACTCTGAGGGCTGGGCATAGGAGTCTGAACCTCTTCTAGGGGCAGTGAGAGTTTCATGGGAAATCGACAGGGTCAACTGGACACATGAGCGACTTGGAACAGAGGCAGGTGATTATCATCCCTGCTGGGTACCCTCCTCTAGTTCTGGGCAGCCCCACTCTGAGCGGGTGAGCGGAACAGAGGTGGGGAACCAACTTCAGCACCCAAAGACTAATAGAGTCTCACTCCAATTCTCATGAGATCAAAAGTATAAATGAGCTTATAAAACAGCAATGCAGGGGATAGTCTTTGGATAGCCGTAAGAAGACAACATGTACTGGCAGCCTAGCTGAGCCAGAAGCTAGGTAGCCCTGGGTTCAAATCCTAACAAAACCATGATGTAGTCTTGGGTAAATTATAGTATTTCTCTGAATCTTTTATTACAATGCAAGGACAGCCTCAGATGGTGTTATGAAGATTTAGGTAATGCTAAGCATTACAACCAGCAAGCTGCTGCTGTTTTCTTCTGGCTTGGATTGCAGACATCTGCTTCAGAAGACCTGTTCCTGTTGAAGGATGTTTTGCTCATTTCCCCCGTTGTTTCTCGCCAGGAAAGCGCAGTCTGCAGAAATCACCAATAGCTTGAGAACAAAGTCACAGAACTGTGCTCAGCCAGAACTACAGAAGCTGGAGCCTCAGAATGTCACCACGAAAGCAGCTGCAGAGCAGACATCAGGGCAAGGACCCAGAACAATACCAACCAAGAGTGACGACAGAGCCCACGTGAGTCTTACCACTGTGCAGAATCCCAAAGTCAGGGAGGCAGAGGCAAGCGGCCACTGACACAGTGAGCATGCTCTGGAGCTCAAATACCGCAACCTTTAAGGTCCTGCCATTCACCATATATGGGGGCGGGGGTAGAGCCTTTTTTTTTTTAACCTTGTACTTCATGGGTTAAACATTACCTTTTTCCCAATGGGGCTGGTACTAAGAAGAAACTCCAGTAAAGTTGGACATTTTAATATGTTTTTAATTTCCCCCCACATCTACAGCATGGTTTTATTTGGTGTTTTGTAGTTTTTCTGATGTTGTTGTTGTTGTTGTTTTCCTCAGTAAAAGTTACATAGTAAATAAGGTACGGTCTGTGGGCCAAACAATCCTTGTCATGACTGCACACACATGCACAAGTATCGTTGTGGTCTAGTAAGACTTTATTCCCAGATACATCAGGGGCAGGACTCAGCCCGTTCCCGAGTTAGATTGCATTCTGAAACATGAGCATCTTTTTGACTTCATGGATTCTGCATAGGATGTAGAATTTTATGCTAAGAACTGGTGTGAATTCTTTTATGGACCAGGTGCTTTAGAAAGCTCAAATATAATTTGCTTCTTGGATTATAGTTTGGAAGAACAATAAACTGCATTACAAAGTACAGTATTCTGCCAGACATTTAATTACACTGTGAATTAACAGGATTTGCTACTGTTTGACTTACATTCACGTCCGCGTGGGTTGTACGTGACTAGGGCAGCTGCCTGAAGCTCACTTTAGAGGCTGGCCCACGGGGATATGGTTATCTCTGTTCTGCCTACTTCTGAGTCTGATAATATTCTAATCATTAACGTGTCTCTAGGGTTATTATGTGGCAAAGGCACAGCAGGCTGCAGAGTGTCTCTGTTAGCGCTCACAGCACTGTGAGCTAGCTACCGCTTCTTTGTCCATTTTACTTGCTTTTTATGTACTCTGTGCACATGTGAGTACAGGTATATGTGCATGTATGTGAAGGCCAGAGGCACTCTTTGGTGTCATTGTGAAGAAAGCCATTTCCCTCATTTTAGATCTCCCATTAGCTTGAAACTTACCAGTCAGACTAGACTGGGGGACAGTGAGCAAGACATTCTCACACTTCTGCTTCTACAGTTCTGGGATTGCAAGCATGCATTTCCCAACTTCTCTATAGGTTCTGAGGATTGAACTGAAATTCTCACACTTGTAGAGCAAGTGCTTTACTGACTGAGCCTTCCTGAAACGTCCATCTTTTGTCTTGCAAGTGAGGAGTCTGAGGGTAGCCTTGGTTAAGCAACATGCTGAATGTCTCGTTCATGCCTAGGTCTTCATGATCCCTAAGTTACTCCTTAATTGTCAGTTTTTTTTTTCAGAGATTTATTTATTTGTTTTTATTTTATGTGTATGGGTATCTCTGTTTACGTATGGGTATGATGTATATATGTTGCCTAAGGAGGCCAGAAGAGGGCATTTTATCCCCTAGAGCTAGAGTTACAGACAGTTGTGAACTGCCATGATGGTCCTGAGAGCCAAACTCAGGTCCTCTGCAAGAGCAGCCAGTGCTCCTAACTGCCAAGCTGGCTTTCTGGCCCCCTCAACCATTGACCTCGACTAGTGACTGTGTCCTTACTGTGCAGACGATGAAGAAACGCCACCAATACAAGACTTGTAGTCTTTAGTCCAAAGTTCTAAAGTTTTGTTCTTGAGACCTCGCTGAGGTTTTCCCTCCCCTCCCCAATCAAACGTTCTCATACTCAGTGTGCCCTCAACATGCCTTACACTAAACTCCCCCCGAGCCACTCCGTTTCGAAGACCCCTAAAATGAAGAGCAGTAGCAACAGCCAGAGCCCCGAGAAACCCAGGCATGCATGCTTCTGTTTGTACTTGAATTACATTGCCAGAGTAATTACATTTTTCAAAACCAGGATAAAAGGTTAAAATAGACACCAAACATCTACCATGATTAGTCTTGTTCGAACGTGTCGTAAGCTCCCCTGGCATGCATGGTGTGGTGCCGTCCTGCTCCTCTGTCTGCTGGAGTTTCAAGTGGGAAGTGATGAGGAGGGGGAAGGGAACGGGAAGCACCTAGACTGAAGAAATATGGATGTTGATGAAAGTTTTTTTTTCTTTTTCTCTTTCTGCTCTCCCCATGTTGGGGCTGGGGGTCCTGCTGAGTTCTGCTGTAATGTTTGCTGAGGTTCCCTTAGCAGTGGGGTGCTCAGAGAGGCTGCGATCTTTCCGTTAGAAGGCTGGCTCCTGTATCATATGTAAAATCCACTTAATGGCATGTTTATATTTTGCTTGTAAACCTTGCCAGTGTAAACTACCGCGTCTGTCATGGGTTGGTATGGCAGCAGAGGAAGACTACTAGTATCTAGGAGAGTTTTGGAGATGAATAAAAGATAGAATTCATACAAATGTACCAAGTTAATCCCTAACACCTGCCGGGTTGATTCCCTCTCCTCTTTCCCAATAATAGTTTTAGCTCACAGACCACAAAGTTAGTATCCAAGCCTGGTTTAATTACTGATTTCTTTTTTTTTTTTTTTTAAAGCATCAAGATAACAAAGTTGGAGTAAAAATAACCCCTGCCACCAGGAACTTTACTGATGGGGAGGTGTGGAGAGGTTTAGCTAATGTTTAATGTCGAATGGTAATAAGTGCTCTGAGGGAAATTACGGGTTTCCACACATTCCCATTACATCAGGGCCTGGGCCAGGGCTTCCTGAATGACCTTTAGGAGACCTTGAGTGTGAGATGGCAATGAAGGACTCCTGGGGCAAAAGTCCAGCCAGCGGCAGCATGGAGAAAGATTTGTGGGGATCAAGCAGAGGGGGAAGAAGTGTGAATGTCTTGTCACACTGGGAGTAGGCAAGGACAGATGTGAAGGGGATGTCAGTGTTTTCTTCTGTTTTTGGAAATAATTGGAAATCGTCAATGCGTTCTGAACAACTTTGTATTTTGAAGAGAATCCATCAGTTTCGTATTACCGTAAGTGCAGGGACAGGTAGCAGAGCCAAGCCTTCCTGTCTAAGGAGTGGGAAGCCAGCAGCATCAGCAGGGCTTCCTGGAAGAGGAGCTGGGGTTTGGGCACAGCTGTAGATGGGGGAGAAGCTTATCTTATTCAGAAGCACACGCGGTTACCTTCGAGCATGCTCTCAGGCTGTCATTTCCTTTCCCATTCATTCCATAACTTCTGACATGTAAACAAGGGAATTACAAGAATTTCTTTTATAAATGAAGAAGTTGATGGTCAAAGATATGCGTACAAATCACAGACCTGCAAGGCCTTGTCTTGCACATCTGTGGGATGTCAGTCCCCACTCCCATAATAATTTTGGTATGCCTTTAGACATGACAGAAGAATTGTCGCCAATCCTCAGACCTTTTCCGTGAGATGAGAACTCCTGAGGGAGGAGGCTAGAGTAAGGAGAGTCATCTTATATCTTTCTAAAATGAAATCAGTTGCCCAGTGAAGACTTTCAAGTTTTAGCTGCAGTTTATTCTGTCTCTGGAATGCAAGGATATTGTCTTTAAAATTCCATTGTCTCACCAGGCCTAGAATCTGTTATGATGAAAAAGTATCTCCAAATGTGTGTGTATGTATGTGCGTGTGTGTGTGTGTGTAAGTGTGTGTAATGTTCACGGTATAAGCACGTGTATGTGTGTGTAAGTGTATGTAATGTTCATGGTATATGCATGTGTGTGTATGTGTGTAATGTTCACGGTATATGCGTGTGTGTGTATGTGTGTGTGTGTGTGTAATGTTTATGGTATATGCACATGTGTGTGTCTGTATATGCCCGTGCGCCACTGAGGCCAGAGGAGGACCAGGCGTGCTGCTCAATTGTTCTCTATCCTATCCCTTTGAGACTCAAGCGGGTGGTGTTTGTCCATGACTGGGCTCTAGCCTTTTGCTGCTCACTTTCTGTGAGCTTTGCATGGATCATCACAGCTGCCCGGTTCTTCTGCATGAGGGTGAGAAATTAAGGGCCTGTGGTCGAGTTTGTTCCTGGGACTGTCTGGGTGAATCTCATAAACTTTTGGGGGCCTCTGGTTTTTTATCTATAAAAGTAGGGAAGTAATAGAATATGCATGCCATGAAAACCAGAAGGAGAAAAGGGACAGCAAGAGGGGACAAGGGGGACAGGAGAGAGTAGTCAAGTGGAGAATAAACAAAAGATACGAAAGAGATTTTCATGAGACATGAAAATGCCTTGGTGACCCTATTTCTATATATGCAGATTCAAAGACTTAATTCAAATGCTTGTGCTGTGCATCTCCTGGGCTTGGGTACACATCTTATGAGGGAATGCATTTCTTTAGAAGTCCCAGTGAGCAGGAGGGTTGTTTTCAGTAGGAACACTGGAAGACTGGCCTGGGCCGGCTGCCCGTGTCCTCCCTGACCCCATGCTTTACTGCCCTGTACTCTCGGCCTGGTTTCCATGACTTCACTCCTTCCCTGAGCAACTGTTCCATGGTTCAGCACATGTAATGGTGAGCCTCAGAGAGCCTATCGGGGAGACATAAAACAAGATCTCCCTCTTCCAGAGTTTTAATTCTACTGGGGAGAAGGGGAGCAGCTAGAAGCCAAGGCAGAGGCAGGGTTTGATCAGGTTTCAGGAGGGAGTGTGCACGGGTTTGGGTATAGGTGGGACAATGGGAGAGGATGGTGTGCTGGAAGGGCAGGTGGTGAGGGAGAGGTTTGGGGAGCAGAATGTCAATAGTGTGAAAGCACAGAACGTGTGTGGGGGAGCTAGGGAAGAGAACAGTCTGACTGGGATCAGGCACGTAGGCTAGGACCCAGGGGTCAGTGATGCCAAGAATTTACATTTTGCAGGTGGAGGCAGACTTGTCGTGGGGGTTGGTTTCGTTACTGTAAAAACAAATAGCAATACACTTAGTTCACTATAATTCTTCTGACGGAAACAAGCTGGGAGCCTAGGGTGGCATGATTAAGGTATGCCAGGCTGAAATCATGTCATGTGAGCTGCTC